TTAAAACATTTTATTCATCTTTCAGTTATAAATTTAAAACAACTGGAAGCTAGCCAATTCTTTATTTCAGATTAATTCTAATATTTTCTGCGCTACATTGTATTATTATAATTATTATAAATGCGTATATTTTTTATGAAAAAGGTTATACATACATGGGAGCAACGACTTAGATATGACTTTACAACAAAGCTAATTAGTCCATATACAGTAAATTAATCATACAGCCTTCCATGTTTTCATTTTATAATTTAAAAATAATCACTAGTTGGATATATTAATAATGTTTATAAACTATTGTAATATTATTATAATGTAATCATACTTTTATTATTATTATAGCTTTGGTCTTGAAAAATTAAAAATAAATTATTTACATTGCTGTATTATTATTTAGTTTTAATATAATATTTAATACAATTATTAATTATTATTATCATTGTTGTATTAATCGTTATTGATTTCCGTTGAGTTATTTAAGAACTAACTTACCGATAACAATGATATAGTCTAAGTTTTTCTAGTTATTTTAAGGATATTATCCTTTGTCACATACACGTTTTATTGTTATAACTGTTTTTCTAAATACACAAATATATTTTGATTTACTCGAGGCTACGCCCACCACACACCACTTTTTAGAACTTGAACATTATTTTATTCAATTAAAAAATTTTAATTTATTCAAACTTTTTTTCATACTAAGCGTTTTGGAGAAAAAGTAAAATGATAACAATTTCCTTTACATTATTTTAAGAAAAAAATTAGGTAATACAAGGTGAAAAATTGTTTAATCTTAAAATAACCAATTGCAATATTTTATAAACAAAATTTTAATTAAATCAGAGACCAAAACAAAATTGTGACTTCAATAAAATAGTCCACCATATCTTCTACAAAATCTGGTAAACATCCAAATAACGTATATATTTTTCATCTTAAAATAACGGCGTACTATAACTTTTTCAAAAAATATACAAATTAACAATCCAGATAAATATTAAAACTCTTCCTCTAGAAAGAGTGGAAACTTTTTCTTTATTTCACTTTCTTGGTTGTAGTTTTGTGATTTGATGTTATGAAAATTAGACTGAATATAGATTTATTGTGTTGGCTATAAAATGTTTAACAACTTTCTCACTATGTCCCGACCCCGCTATGCTGCCTTTTTTTATAACACAAATATTATATACGCTTATTCTAATTGGATTAACTAATAAAAACCACAACTTAATTATAAGCACATAAATTCCTTAAAAACGAAATTAATTTATACCAGCAATGAAATCTCGAGTAAACCAAAAGATTATAGGTTGCCATGGTAACGTAACCAAGAATGATATCTTACCAAGTTCAAAAAGTATAAGGTAAGTTCGACTAATAACATGAAAAATAGTCATCATTTCTAAGTTTGTTAAACTAAAAAGCTGACATGTTTAACACATATCAAGCTCAGTCAACCACATAAACATTACTGTGTACACATTCAGACGTCTCGGTTTAATAGATCGCAAGAAAAAAAAAATTCGTCAAACTAAATCAACAAAACACTTATTCAACTAATCACCACTAAATTTTAATCAGCTTATATAAATAATAGTACAAGTACACTAGAAAAATTTTAGAGGAAACATTGAAATCCACATAGTCACTATCGACGGTCATTACGTACTATTAGTACGTATTGAGTGGTTTGCTGTTAAATAACTGATAACATAAAAAATATGTCTAGTTCTAGTTGTCTAATGTCTACATTACGTATTTGCCTATCTCAGTGTCATACTTAAGAGTGGATTGGCATATTTTAATCCGATGTATTTATTATTTAAAAAACACATTTTATCAAACTTAAATTTTTCCCTGGGTCGATTAGTTTGTCAATATATTTTTTGCAACAGCGGGGTTGTACGACTGTATGATGTTAATACTTTATTTTACTTCTTTTGGTCACAAAAAATTATGTTGACAACGTTTGTTCCTTTAAATTATTTAGTATAAAGTTAAAAATAAACACACTTCGGAAAAAAAAATTAAATATTTCCCTTGAATAAATATTTAAAAATTGTATATTTTATTAAATAGTTCCCATAAATTCCTTATTACGGAGTTTAGTAAAAATACCCAGCATATTATTATATACTAGGATATAATATTTTGTTTATTATGTTATGTCCGTTATTTATACAAGTTAATGATGAAGTATAGTATAATAGTATACTGACGTACAAAATATATACCTATTTGGCCCTATACTAATAATATTAGAGATAATAGTTAGACTTTTGATATGTTTACAAAGCCTTATAAAATATAAACAATAATAGTAATACCCGGATTTATTATATTATAAGCTGTAGAAATAAATAGATTAATAAATATTCAGAAAACCATATTTTAATTATTATGTAAGTCAATTATTATATGATAGCTTTACGATTTTTGTATTAACCTTGTAACGAGCCTGTAGCGAATGTACCCGTTACAAGCAATAAAAATATAAAATATTTGTCACCTAAATGATTACAATTTTTATATTATTAATTTAAATGATTAATGTATGGATTAAAAACTTATTTCAAAGCAATACATATCTTGGACATTTTGATACTTGGCCGTATTTTTTTTGGTCATTTTATCCTTAAATATTTTTAACTACACAACCTATTACTCATAATAATGTTATTGTATTATTATAAAGTCAACAGCTGTCCAATATGTGTTAGTCGATAACGTTTAAAAACTGTTGTTGCAATATAATTGTATTAATAATAATTATTGTTAAACTCGACGCCTTCGGTGTTATCATACTATAGCAAACAATTATTGTTTTTATTGCAGCGCCGACGTTTAATTATTAACGCATTATATTATTATAATATAATTATGTTGTGTTTAAAAGAGATTAGACCACACTCGCGTTGCACGTACCTGCCAGTATGATCAAAACGACGGGAATGGTGTACTGAATTAACGCTTTCCACGAATGAATGATGGAAACGACGTGTTGGGCTGTCTTTTCGCTGTTGACGCATTCGCCAAAGGGTTCCATTGGGTTACACGCTTTTCTCAAGAGCAAGTTGTTTTGCAAAAATGCCGAAACCGACATGGACAGCGAATACAGCAGAGTGACCGACTCCAGAGAAATCTTGGAGACGTCGCCAAACATCGGTGGGGTCCGAATTTTCGGTATTACCATGTTTTTTACAAATTCAACGCATATGCAAAAATCAAACTCTCTTCTCTAAAATACATGTTTTCGGCACACCGTTCGTCGTACGACTGCCGCCGATCATCGTGGTGCTACCGGCAATTGCGCAATGGGGAACGTCTTAATAAAACTATATAATACCATACCCGTAGACGTTATAATATCATACACGTTAGTGTAGTACCTGTTTATTAATAATCTGCACACTCCAACGCTACGCCACTACGTTATGCACCCGCTCTAGTGCTACGATAAACAAGTATAAGTATATATTATACATAGTGAATGTACCAACGTCTGACGTCATAATATTGTAGTATTATTATGCTAACCACCAGTAGTAGAGTGTAGTAAAAAATAGGTCGAACAGGTTCGATTGCTCAAATCGCTTAAGAAAACCCGTGATATTGCATATGACAATATTATCATCGAGACGATCACGGTGTTTATGTTATATTTGAGGGGCGCACGCGGGGGAGAAGGGGAGAGACTAAATTGGCTGACAAATCCCACTTCGTGCCTTCAAGTTTTTAACGAAACACGGTTTTCTAAAATGAGAAGTATGATTTTTTTATTTAACGTTATAAAATACTATAAGAACTACGCGAAATTATTCTACGATATTTGACATTTCTATTGTTGTTGTAACGGTGTGTAGGATTCTTTCCCTGAATCCGAGGCTGGCCTAATATTTTCTCGTTGTTATATTTTAAATACTTTAACAGTTTACAAAACAAAAATCAGAAGCACACATATCTGCCAGGATTCAACATAACATCCCAAACCCACTAAAATATGCACCGGAGAAAACAATTTATTGTAATACATTAAAATGTATAAAACTGTACACATTAATGTAACATGGCTTTAGACCTATACTTAATGACGATCGACTAACTATTGATTCTTAGTAATAATCAATTCGTTTGTATTTTGTGTCTTATACATAGGCTAATAACCTAGTAGTTGGAGCCTGTTAAAATAAATCCAATAAAAAAAATCAGAAATTTATAATTTTATTCTGTGTATAAAAAAAAAAAAATGTCTACATGAATTCTGAAACCAGTTCTGAATTCAGAAAAAGAGATGGAATAAGAAAGTCTATTTGAAAGTTATTCTAGTTACAACACATGCCGAAAATACCATAAAACTGCATTTTCTCAAACTTAGGAAACCTTTTAAATTTACAAATTGGTACATGACATCTATTAATTTATGCATATTTATGACTTTCAGAATTCAGAATTCGAAAAAAATTTTAGATGCTATTATTTTTAAGTCTTGAAAATAGTAATATTATTAAACAAATGGTTGTATAGAAATATAGTAAAAAAAAATATTAGAATGTTTCCATTTTAATTGTAATTATCGAAATATTAAATACTAATGACATTTTATTAAGTACTTTAGATTCTTAACTATTTATTATTTCTAACTTCCTATGCTTATTACATGGTAGAGAGCATACAGAGTCGTGACCATATTTACGCTCCAAATTAAAATAATATGTATTTTTTTTTATTTAAAAATTAATTAATTATTAAGTTCATCCGGAAACTTAAATAAATAAAAAAATTAGTCAATTGATTTATGGATAATAATATTTTTTTACTGAAAAACACTTAAACTGAACTTTAATTAATAATAACTAATAATTATGAATTCTTTTTAATTAGAAAAACAGCCGATTGTTTTTATTACACAAATTAACAATTATTTAGTCTTTCCCCTCTTTAAAAAATCTTTAGCACAACAATTTGTTTTACACTAAAAATAATGCCAAAAAAACTAATTTATACATAAATCTATGATATATTTAATTTATATTGTTATAATATACATTAAATTACATTGGTAATTGCAATCGTTTATAAGTACTAAGATATAGGGCTAATGGTGTTTCAACAAATAATCAATTCAAACGTGTGTATTCCTTTGAGACAACTTAAATACGGATACAATGTATGTGGTATCGAATATTTTTTATGGAAAAAATTTGAGCTTTTATAAAAATATTCCACTTTCTTCGCTTAGAGGTACAATTTGATTAGTTCGTCACTTACTGCCGACGGCATCAATATTCCCAGGTCAGTAAACAATAAGCTTATGAATGACGGATGCGTGTAATCAACAATGGGATGAGAGTTTGACAAATTTTTATCATTTTTTGATGGATACTAAAAAAAAAAATAAGGTTGATTTAGTCGTAATAAAAGTAATTTTAATTTTTTAATTGATTTTGTACTACTTAATCGTGCATGCTACATATTTACGACTCAAAAGTCAATGTTTGATATTACTATAAATTGTAGAATTAAATAATAATATTAACACTTACTCTGAAATTATCGGGCAAATCTCTTTGATTTAACGGATACATTCTGGAAAATTTGTAGCTCTCAGTCAATACGTAAAATGGCTTTTTAAATTCTTTCGCACAAATAGCCATCGTACAGCTGCCGATCTGGACAAATTATAAACAAAATTAAAATATAACATAATATTTTTTTTTTTATTAACAATATGTTTATTTGATGAAAGTTACTTTGTTAATGATGCCTCCACTCTCGACAACACATTCAGCTCCGACCATAACCATGTCTACTTTTTCCATTATGTAGCCGACTGCCGAATCCAGTATTAACGTACAAGGTATATTTAGTTCAGTCAAACATTTGTACATTTCTTGTCTAAAAATATAATAAAAAAATTACACAATAACCTCATAATAAACATACAGTCTAATATAATATCAAGTCAAAATAAAATATTATAATTAAATAATAAAAAAATATACCCGCTGTTGTCAGGAGCCGATTCAGTAACGTACACGTGAAATCTTTTTTGAGTAGCTACCGCCAGTTTCATGGCTTCGAGTACCACTCTCGATTTTGAATGCGTTAAAATATTCTAAAACAAATTGTGTGCTAAATTGTTATACAAAAACAGTGCCTATGCAGTTACGGTATTAAGATATAAATATTTTTATGGTTAAAATATATGAATGAATATAAAGAAAAAATGTTTTAAGCCAATTACAAAATGTACAAACATCAAATTATTCAATGATCACTCTATTGTAATAAACAGACCGCATATTAATAGGACCTGCAACTAAAGCAAACAAAATCTTGAAAAAACATGCTCTTTAACTCTTTCCGGCATGGTGGGATTACAGTTGTCCCACATAAAAATTAACCTTTGCGGCATGGTGGGACAAATAATATACCACATATTATATTATTTTTCTAAATTTTATTTATCTCGTTTTCGTTTATTTTTAGCATTTTTCATACAACCGTGTGTCTATAGAATATTAATAAGTAACGCCGATTTGTCCTGTCTGTATTGAACAAAAGGCATCGGCATATACACATATTTTTTTTTCCCAGAAAATTTTCAAAACTTATTTTGTAATTTGTGAGGGAAATAATCAACCGGTTTGAATGTTCTTTTTTTCGTTCGTTTCCATATTAGGTTATGTTTATAATTAATGGTATAAAAGTATATTGATATGAAAAAAAAATACGAGATGCGAATGTTGTGCGCACAGTATGAGCGGTGGGATATACGTAATCCCACATACTGTAACTCCTAGACTTTGCCACTAATTTTTTTTTTTTTTTTTTAATATTATTTTTAAGGCATATGTAAGTACAAATCAACGATAAAAAAAATTAAAAATTAAAAATTTAAGTATCTGTGCATCTTGGGTATAGAAATTTTGAAATCTCTTGTGCATGAAAGAGTTAAACAAAGTGTCATACTGATTTTGAATACGTAAAAACAAAATAATTATTTAATGTCAATAAATAAAGCTAAAATCCAAAAATTACATAGATCTAAGTAATATATTGAAGAAAATTCAAGAAAATTATTTTATAATATCAAAAATAAACATTTTTGTGACGCTAGCCAAAGCTCCTTGCCATTTACTTAGAAGGTGGCCAAAATTTAGCGTAACTTGAAAGACAGCAATATAAATTTTACAAACAAACAGAAATGATAAAAATTCAGATCTCATGCAAAAATTAATATTTTATAAAGCAGTTTTAAAATTTATTTTTATTATAAGAGTTTGAAGAATTTTTCTAAGTGTGTGAAAATGAACAACGAGAATAGAGTAATTATGTAGAATTTGCTCTTCAAATTTAGTGTAACAAAAATATACTAAATATTGACAACCTAGTTAGTTTTTGCCTGGATTTTTTTATCATATTACTATTTTAAGACAAAAATCCAACTATTGACAGAGCTTATGTAATCGTCATATGTTGTACACACCACAACTAATACACTATACTTATAACTTACAGCACCATCAACGATAAATGGAAGAGTGATCTTGGCTACTTTGTTCCTAGCTTCCGTAAGTTTCTTTAAGAATACTTTGCCTCTAGCCAACATTACTTTTTTACATTCTGCAAAACTCTGTAAAAGATACAAAAAAAAACATTAAATTACCAAACGAATTTCAAATAATATACCTATTGGTTAAATGAATGAATAATTACAATATTGTCCAACTTGGCAAACGTTATGAATCGCATAAATAAAGCACATCCCGATGAAACGCCCGTCACCTTTATACTACCTCTTGTAATTACTTCGACGGCCGATTGTAAATTAACATCGAGTTCTTGGACAGTTTCAGCTGAAAAATAAATTTGTTAGTTACTACTTAGTTGATAACAACAATAACTGTTAATTAAATTTAAATATCAAAAGCTTGATAAGGGCTTATAACAAAGCCGTGGTTGGATGAATTTTTAAAAATATGTAAACGTAAGTATGTAACTTGGTCAACATATGTTAAAACCAATTGAAATTTTAAAGGAATATTTTAATTGTTCAGAAAAATAATTAATAATGCTTCAATCAATTATTATCAAATGTTTGTAATATCAAAATTTAAAAAACTACGTCAACAGATGGAACTAGATGTATTTATAATATAGCTGCAGACTATGTCATTGCCTGTACCTACAATTTTCTTCAACCCAATGCAGCATAACTACTTACACTTATCGAGTTCCAAAAGCTTCATCAGAGTGCTTATCGCTGCTATACTAGCAGTGACGTTTGGTTCTTTTTCCATAATGTTATTAAAATATTCCAATACTTCTAAAAATTTTAATAAATTACAATTGGTTTAGCAATACAAATAAATATAATTGTTAAAAATCTAACATAGTTACTACTACATTAGACATACGTAAAACATATATAATAAATTAAAGATGATTATTTTGGCTTACTTGTTAAAAAAAGAGATACACTGACCTATTACCAAATCTGAATATTATGACCGTAATTTTTAATTAATCTAAAGAATATACAAAAAAAGATTAGAGAAAAATAAATATAATCTTCCAGCACATAATTTTGAAAATAGATATTAGGGACATTTGTTTGATTTCTCAACTATCTTGTCATATAAACATTAATTAAAGTTCTCTCTAATATTATAAAATTTCATGGATGTAACAATTTAACTGGTATTTTATAGACTCAATACAAAATTTGGATGATCGAAAAATCAAATTATAAAAAATTGTATGGCTGGTAATGGTAAAAAAACAAAGTTTTACACAAATTTATTTAATAACCAATTTTGAAGGTTAAAAATAAAACCTCTTATAATATTTTAAATCACATTTGATTATTTTTACTAGTCAGAAAGGACTTCATCTTAAAAATTAAACTTAAAAAAGGGGTTTGAAACTGTAATAAGAAATCTACAGAATTCATCTATTCAAACATTTTAGCAACTTAATTATTTTTTTAAGGTAAACGAGTTATACCTTACAAGACAATGTAGTGAAGGCGAGAAAGAAAAGAACAACGCAGTTTTAGCTTGAAAATGAAATTCACTTATATTTTGTTGTAGTCTTTTTTTATGAATATCTGCTTTCAGATTCAAAATTGGCATAAACTATACAAGAGTCAGGCATATAACTAGTGACGTGGATATATCCGAAACTCTTTCAAATGATATATCCACGAAAACTTTAACGCATTCATAAGAGTAATGCATTTTGATTTCTGTAAGCTATGTTTTGTAACCCTTGACTAGTGACTTGCGGACTGTGGTATCTCTTACCACTCTGTTTCTTCTTGTATCAATTTTGTTCTTATTAGTTTTAACATCGATTATAGTTAGTTTTGCTAGAATATATGTTGTACAATCTTTAGTATACAAATTTGTTTGATTTTACCTAAAAATTTAAGGTACTACTAAAATTGAATGAGTCACTAGTTAAGGGTTAAGTTGGTAACATTATAACAGGTAACATTCTAAATAACTAACTTGAAAAAATATGGTATCTATTAAAGTAAGTTTGTTTAAAAATAAAATAATGATTACTAATGAATAAAACTAAATACAAATTAGTAAAAGTTCGTTTAAGATAAATAAATTTACTTAAGTTAACAAGTAATATTTATTTAATAATGTGGTCCTTAGATAATTTAAGCACTAATTTCTTATACTTATTACAATTGATGCTCAAATTACCCCCATTAAAACTATAAAACTGTATTCAATAATAATAATCAGTTATTCGATTTTAATACGTTATACTTTCATACCTTCTTCCAACATGTAATCAAAGTACGATATCTAATAGTTAATTGATAACTTAAAATTATTTAAATGTTAAAGTGCAAATTACACTGTGCTTATTTCAATAAGCACAATAATTTATAATATAACTAGGTATATTATATATTAAAATCACTTAAGACATTTGTGAAACTTAATAATGAATTGTCAATCTCTCCATCGTTATCACTACTTATTATGATTATAGGTAGGTTATCTCACAGAGTAAAATTATAACCAAGGTGGATTTATCAGGTGTTAACACTCGCTACCCATTACCGTACGAAAGGCTGATGGACAATATCGCACCAGTTGAACACTCTGCTAGATCGCGTTGGTTACCCGATAAAGTCTCAACAATGCATGTACAGCATACGCAAAATTGATTTAAATTGAAGTTATTTACATCAAATATCAATTATATTAAAGTTTTATTAATTTTGGTTGTTGTAATACATTTACAATACATTACGAAATTTATTAAAGTGTTATGTAGAATTAATTATTTCAATTAGTAATTAGTTATGCCCAAATAGGTAACCTTTTGGCTTCTGCATTAATAAGTGCATACCTTCCTATACTGCATTAAATTAATATATTTGAATTTACCTACTTGTTGTTAAAATGTTTTATAGCAATATTTAAAAAAAATTGTTTATCAATGTTGAACTGAGATATTACTCAGTACAACATTGATAAAAAAAAACATTAAAAAATGGAGTAGTTCTTAAAATATTACGCATTTCTTGTACAACAATAGTACTAAAAAATAATATTGAACAGAAATTGTATACATGACAGCAGTAGTCAAAAGGTTAAAATACTGGGTGATTCTTTTAACGCCCTACATTAGTTTACTCTTAAAGTAATTGCAAATGTGTAGTGGTTATTTTTGAAAAACATTTTGATTATACTATATTACTATATAAAACAATATTTAAATTTTTATCTTTTTTAGTATTTTCTAGAGCTTTATCAACTTTTGAAACTTAAATGGTAACGTAAATATATTTTTAACTTTTTAAATTAACAATAATTTACTGAAGATGAAGTGAAGCTAAATTTCTGTCGGTTCTTGGAATTTTTTGATTCCATTTATCAATCATATCCTACATAATAATAAAACTATATAACTGAGCAAATTGAAGTTGTACCTTATGTTATTTTGCATAATATATGTTGGAATTCCTAATTTAGATCTTACTCAACTCTACCTTTAAACTGTCCCTGGGGGCATAGTAAGAGCCTGCTCGTGGCGCCCCTGCATAGTTGTCTGACCTAACCTCTAGATCAGATTAACGAACTAATCTTACCAACACCGATGCGAATTATGCCAATACCACTAAAATGGTCCTTTTCAGGACCAACCCCTGCTCTAACTATACTTTCACAAAATATTGAGGGTTTTTCAACGTATAAAGGAGAGCTTCTAGCTCTCCTTTGTGCTGAGAATGACTGCGATATACTTTGTGTACAGGAAACGCACCGGGACAGGGCCAGCTCACGGCCAAAAATACCGGGAATGATATTAATCAAAGAGATACCTAGTGAAACATACGGAAGTGCGGTCTTTTCAAAACCTGGATTGATCATAGAAAGTGCAGAACACTGTAATAAAGGAAATATCGAAATAATTACAATAGAGGTTAAAGGCTGTACGGTCACTTCAATATACAAACCGCCAAATATAGACTTTGCTTTTGAAAAACCAACGAATTTCGATAATAGCCCTATAAAAATAGTGATTGGGGATTTCAACAGCCACAGCTGCAGTTGGGGATACGTAGAAACGGACCTTAACGGCGAAAAAGTTGAAGAATGGGCTGAAGCTGAGCTTCTGTCATTAGTGCACGACCCAAAACTGCCTAAATCATTCAATAGCGCGAGATGGAAAAAAGGATATAACCCGGATTTAATCTTTGTGAGTAACAATATTTATCAACAATGCCTCAAGAATGTGTGTAACCCAATACCAAAAACCCAACATAGAGCTCTCAAACTTCAAATAACCGAAGTAATCCGAGGTCAAATCATACCATTCAAGAGAAGGTTTAACTACAAAAAAGCGGATTGGGAGCAATATGGGCTAGCTATCGATAGAGAAATCCAAAATCTTGAACCTAATTTAAAAAACTATGAATCTTTCGTAAAGAAAGTGAACAAAATATCTAGACAATACATCCCAAGGGGTTGCAGACAAAATTACATTCCCGGCTTAAATAGAGAAAGCTGTAAGGCAAAAGCAAAATATGAAGAACTATTCAAACAGAACCCCTTTAGTGAAGAGAAGATTATAGAGGGTGAAAAGCTAACCCAACTATTATGTGCCGAGAAAAATAGGAAGTGGCATGAAACAATAGAAAACATTGACATGACAAAAAACAGTAAAAAAGCTTGGGGACTTATAAAGAAATTAAACGGAGATCAGACGGTACAAACGTCCTGCATAAATGTTACAGCAAATCAAGTAGCCTTAGAATTACTTCGTAATGGGAAACCAAATACTAAAATCAAAAAAAGGAAGATCAAGAGGAATAAAGATATAGAATATCGTAACTTCCAAGATGATTTTACGATAGAGGAGCTAAGTAACAGTTTACGAGAAATGAAGAACGGAAAAGCGGCAGGATTTGACGAAATCACTACAGAACAAATTAAACATTTCGGAATCGAAACTAGAAATTGGCTTCTCAAACTACTAAATGGTTGCCTACGAAATAAATCTGTACCAAAAATGTGGAGGAAGGCTAAAGTAGTGGCACTGCCTAAACCGGGCAAAGACTTAAGCAATCCGAAAAGCTATAGACCTATATCTCTATTATGCCACACTTTCAAACTTTACGAAAAAATGATCCTAAATCGTATCAAAACGCAGATCGACCAACAAATAATTCCAGAACAAGCTGGCTTTAGACCCGGAAAACGTGCACGGGCCAAATCTTAAACCTTTGCCAGCACATAGAAGACGGCTTTGAAAATAAAAAAATTACTGGTGCTGTTTTTGTTGACCTTACGGCAGCATATGACACGGTCAATCATAATGTTCTACTACAAAAAATATATTATCACACAAAGGATTGGGATTTGGTCCAAATAGTCGCGTCTCTTCTACACAATCGTCGTTTTACGGTGACACTGAACAATAAATGGAGTAGGTGGAGGAAACAAAGAAATGGCCTACCACAGGGTAGTGTTCTGGCTCCGACATTATTTAATCTATATACTAATTTTAAAATTATTTATTGTGTTTAAAATAATTTTTAAATTAATTTAATTTGTTAAATGGTACCTGTATTTTTTTACTTTTAGTAACAAAAACAATATTATGTCATTAGTGTATAGATTTAGGTCAATTTACGATAAAACCCATCAATAAAATAACTCCACAATACATTTATCTATATATACTATTTTTTAGAGGACATAGAACCGCCATCTCCTCCACTACGTCCAGTTTCAATAGAAATCGAAAACGAAGAAGGTTAGTAAATAATAATTAAAAAGCCTAATTATATTTCATATTGACTATCCAGTTAAGACTGTCATGACTCTTAGCTAATTTATACTTTGAGTCGTTTAATTTTGTAATGGGATAATTGATATTATCATTATAAATAATTATTTAGGTACCCTTTATAATTTACATTGTTTCTTTTAGAAGTTGTTGATATATGTCCCATTTGTATGAATGAAGAGACGACCGTCATCTTACAGCCATGTACGCACAAATACTGTAATACTTGCGCCATACGACTCCTGACAGAGAATTTTAACTGTCCGTTATGTAGAGCGACCATCGAGGAGTTCTCTGGAATCCAACTATTACCTTACATAGAATTTGTGTGGTCAATAAAACGTTACGTAGTTCGAAGGCCAAGTCTGGTGTGTCTGGTTATTTATTAGCTGGTCATTATAAAATGAAAAGACGCGATAAATGGAGTGGAGGACAGGAAAGTATTGTATATATAGGGTGGCGGGAGAAGGAGAAGATATTTTTGAAATTCAATCAAATATTATGGTTTGGTTATTTTGTCATCTAATCCCGAAAACATATCCATAGTGCTGGGTTTTTCCGTGTGTGGAGACAATTATTTATTACCTGAACTGCTGGCTTTGTTAAATCATAAAACAAATAGTTCGCACAACTCGTGCGAACGATTCTAGACAATGACTACGTGCATTAAATATGGCTAACGATGAATATGCATAAAACAAATATAAAATGTTAATAAAATAATGTGTACAAACTACAGACGACGACTGCGAGTTTTAAAATTAGCAAAATGCGACAATTTGTTGAATCTCGATAAGAAATCGAATAAAATTGATTTGGAAATTACAATAGTTTTTTTTTAAACAAGTCAGGAATGGCCAATCTGGGAGCCTACTTAGTTCCCGCGTTCTAATCTTTTTTTTTAAATAATAAATTATAATTTTATGAAAATTGCATATTCTCATGTAGTGTTGTAGTCATAAAAAAAAAGCACGAGGACATGCCGAAATCATTGTTAAAATTTATACGTAGGGAACCTTCAGGCTTATTGAACGATTTTTTCCAACTGCACATCTATTTTTAATGTGAGCCAAATCGTGGGAGGTTTAGAAAACCACCGTTTTTAGTATTGTGACGTTATAACTACATATAATTTTCAAATTACAATAATTAATTAATATATTTGATTTAGGTATTTAACGTTTTGCTAAGAACAAAACTATAGACCCAAACTAGATAGTCATATCAAGTCACAAATAAACTTAACCCAAAAATATCTTAAATTGTTTTTTATTATTAAATCATAATAATATAATTGACATATTAGGTATCTTAAAACTCAACAAATTATGAATACATTTTTAATACCAATCAATTTTTTACCAGAAAACTTGTTTTACTATGCTATTTATAAGCTACAGATGTCCGTTTGGACATGAAATACTTGTTGACATGATGTATGAAATATAAGCAATATAATTCACTCATAAAATTACATATAAAAAAAAATGAAAGCTAAGATGCCAAGTCAAAATATGCACAATTTGTATATTATATAACATAGAATAACACGTAATAAATTGAAACATAACAATAATTTAAAATACTTTATAGTATATTTTGAAAAATAAATCATGGAATTGCAAACAATAGTATAACAATTTGTAAGTTAACTTTTTTGTTTTATAAATATTAAACTACAGGTTCATTCTGCACTTCTCTTACGAAACGGTCGACCACTTCCTTAATTATTATTTCAAGTTTATCTCCATTAAAAGGATCAAAACAATCTCTTATTGCTTCGGACAAAACTTCACGCCCTGCTGTAGTACATTTTCCTTGTATTAAGGTTCTCGCATAGGAAGCCATTTTTAAAAAATTTTCATGTAATTTTAATGGGATACCTGTACACAAATAGCATTTTAAGTTCGGTTTCATAAATGTATTAACGCTCAAACAAATTTTATTTTCAGATGAAAAAAACAGCTTTTCATTAAAATAAATCTTTGTAAACTGGCCTGACAGATCTTTGTTAAGTTAATGTTTTTAAAGGTCGTATGAATTTAATACCTTCGGAAATGTGTACTCTCTCGGTTGCGTTTTCTTAGTACAACTGAGGTTTACATAAATACTAACAACCTAATAAAAAAGTATAACCGTATTCCCTACAGTATTGAAATCTGATCATTTTAGTATCATTTCATGAATTCGCTTGGCTTATTAGAAAAAATCATTTTTAATACTCACTGCTTTCAAAATCCTTTTTTAATAAATCAACTGATATATCATTTATATGTTTTTGAAGATTAAATATACATGTGGGCATTTTATTTAAATCACTGTAAGACACTGATTTTACCATCGGCGAAGTATGGCTTTTTAAGCATTCTGGTATTGATTCATTCTTCAATGTTTCGCCTTCGTCTGTTGTCACGGGCGTGGCATTTAATGATATCTAAAAGATAAACAACATATTAGTAGTATAATAGAGCTCTTGTCGACCATCATCAAATACCAGCTATAACTGCTATATTAAAGGACTACAGTTTTGTAGTTTCAAAGAAAATTGGTCAAAGACAATTTGTTATAATAGGCTATGGAAATAATTTGTGATTATCCTTTATAAGTCTTAAGTAGTGTGTATGTATTTTTTGGAATACATAAGTATAAAAGTTTTTAGAATGCAAAGTAGAGGCTTTGCTAATATTTTATTGTAACCTCAATGATAGTCAACTTGACAAATGAGAGATACTGTATTTTTTTTAATTTAGTCCAAACCAATATTGACTTACAATGAGGCCAAAGAACACTGCGAATAACATTAGATTCATGTTTGACTTCATCGTAAACACCTAAAACAATACAATATTCATAATATTATAAATAGATATATATATATATATGGGCAAAAATGCCAAATATGAACGAAATTTTGAACCATCCACCGAGGAACTTATTAAAATTTGAAAAGACTTAAATAGAGTGATGTAAAATAATCTTAGCTCTCTGAAAAAATATTCTAGTTTTTTTTCTTCAGAAAGCTGAGAAAACTTTCATAAAATTTGTGAATTTCAAATTTGGTTCTGCAAAAAGTATAGAAAAAAAATTGATAATGATATTTATAATGATTATGATATTTATTTTCAGCTTTACAACTTAGTAATCTACATTTTTACAAAATCATATCTTGGGATACACAAACGTATGATAAAGTAAGCATCATTATAAATATTAACCCGACTTTGTATTTTGTAAATTCGACCAGTCAATAGATTGTCAGTCTGTTTTACTTTAAATTTTAAACTTTTAAACTTAATAAATTGATATGTACTTATGTATAATATATAATAAATGTATTAACTTCAGTTGTTGTGTATGGTCCTTTATTGTCAGTAAAAAATAACAATACAAAAACATACCAAATTGTCTTACGAAGAATAATTTTAAGTTTTACTTACTTTTTGTAGTTTGGTAGACTTGATAAGTGGGAACTCGAAAAAAATACTAATACAGTATTAATGCTCGGGTTCCCTATTTATAGTGAGATTGGCGATTTTTCACGTGTCGCGTTTCCTTAAATTGCGTGCAAGGCTTTATTGTGATTATCGTATTTACATAGTATTGTTTTATTTAGTTCCAGATGGGAAAATACCTCTAGACCAATCGGATTCCATTGTGCATGCATCACTTTTCACCACTTCGTCCAGTTGTTTACTCATATTGCACACATCGACCACGAGCCGCCACTGTAAATTCGCAAACAAGCACATGCACACAATAACTTGTCATATTAAAATATCAAACTTTGAATTTCAAGGGTTACAATAAATCATGAAATGATAATTTTTTCGATACACGTGTATTGTAATATAATTTTAGCATAAATATATATGTATATGCATATATTTTTTAATTTCTGCCTTTATTTATACAGCCCCTTTGGGAACCTCGTATAATTCATGTGTTAATCACAAACTCTTGGCTATATTTATATTTATTTTATTAGAGTTTGTTATTATTATTATCATCACATTTACTCTTATTCGTTTTCGTTCAACTTGCAATTGACGCTTATTTTCCGCTTACTCGTCTTGTTCTTAATTATTTAGTAAACATTACCACACGCGGACAGGAATGTCACCGTTAAACCAATAATTTATGCTTTATTTATTATCATTTTTTTTACATTCAAAACGTTTTTATTTTTAAGAGAAAATCGAAGTTCAACATAAGTTGACAATATTTTCGATACAGACTCATACTGTTTTAGAATTTTGGTAGGCACGCAGTATTTTTTTTTGCCGCTGCTTTTAATTATTCATAAAAAATATATTAAATTTAATGATACGAAAAAATCATAATCTGTATATATAAAAATAATTTGCTGTTTATTGGTAAGCGCATCACTTGAGAACGGCCCTGATTTAGGTAGCTCGTTTTTTTTTTATGTTCGTATAGTGCGAATAAGGTTTTTACGGAAAGAAAAATTGGAATTTTGACGGTAAATTGGAAAATTTTAAATTTTAGTGAAAGTTTATTTCAATAGATATTATTGGAAATAATATTACAGCTGACAGCTAATTAGCTGACATATGGACGGTTTGAAATATTGACATATTGCATAGCCCCCCCTCCCCCGGCGAAGCCAGGGCTACGCAACTAGTAATAATTATAAAACCTTATTAATTAAAAAAGCAAACAGGCTATGCCTGTTGTCAAATTGGACGTTATTATTTTTTTCGTCATCTTAACGAATATAATATACCACAAATATATAAAAATAAAAATGTACGTATCCAAGTGTAGTATTAAAATTAAATAATAGTGATTAAACTAAAGTAGTTCAATAAACAACGACAGGACGTACATAATTTGTCAGACTCATGTAGGACAAGCGCAACAGTCTTGCGAAAATTAAAACCTTAGTGTCTTGAAACTGTTGCAAGATCATAAAATTTGTTCAATATACAGAGCAAAACTTATCTGTACTTCATCGTTATTTAATTTTTAAAAACTCAATTCATAATTTCTAATTAGTTACTAAAATATACTAAAAATTGTAACTTTAAAAATGTATAGGGAACAAATGATTTTATCAATCAAAATACTGTCCTTTCCAAACATAGTTAATATTCTCTTTTTATTTTTCTATGCAAATTTGGTGATTCACAGTACTCAGTAGTACTGCAGCATCTGAACTTTATTTGTGCCTAAACATTTTTAAATTGTTGATAACTCAGTTCATTAATTTTTAATAAATTAATTAAATATACTAAAAATTGAAATTTTAAAAACTAATAAGAAAAAACAAATATTTAATCAATCAAAATACTGCCACTCTTAAACATAAATATATTATTCTTTATTACCACCTCCACAGTGTTATAGCCAGTAGCGTCTAAAATATATTTAATATATGATATATTATATTTTTTGTGTTTGTGTCTTTACTTTTAAAATTACTTTTAATAAAACATTTTGCACAATAAGCAATAAAAGTCTTTTTAGTAGTTCCTTGCACGTGTAAACGACTGTCGCCGAAGGCGTGGTGCCCATATGCCTGATGAAGTCTTTCATACGTAAATGGGAGGATATCAGCTTGTACTTGATGCAAAAAGTTTTGTAAAAAAAAAAAAATGATTTTAATACAATTTTGTAAACATCAAATTTTTCCATGTTTATGAAACACTCTATAAATTTATAATACCAATACATTTTTTACCAAAAAACTTGTTTTACTGTATTACTTATCACGTTGACCGCAACGGGCTTTTTTACTTTATTACTTGTAATAGCCATGAGATGTAATTCTAAATCTCAATCTTTTTTAAAAAATTGTATGTGAGATTTTTTAAGAGATCTCATTTACAATTTATTTCGATTGGTGAGATTTCGTTTTAGGTCCTAATTATCAGTACTTAAACATTTTATTTGAAATTCAAAGTGTTCCCACTTTTTTTCAATTTTTTTAGCAAGCGTCTAGCATTGTCAGTTTTTTTTTTCTATGATTTTGTAAAATTTATGTATGCCACGATAATCTTATCATTAATACTATTTGCATATTTTTTGAAAATAACGTAGCTAGATAATGAAATAGAAAAACTTTTGTTAAAAATGCGTACTGTGTTACAACTTACATATTATGATATTATTTGTATACAAAATACAAATATAATGGACACTAACGATATAAATCAAATTTTAAACTCATCATTTGACTATTCTTCATTAGATGACACAAATGGGGAAGTAATATTGAAGTTATCAATTTAGAACTATAGTTTTTATTTTAAAATAAATAATTTGTTGAGATTTAATCTAAGATCTCGTATAAGGGTAATCTTTGGTATGATATTTATTTGAAGATCTCACAGTAATAGTAATATTAATAATTTTACAGTGTCATCCTACGGCCAAGAGATTTAATGCGATATCTCAGCTCTAATTAACTTGAAACTATAAAAAACTTATTAGAAACCATTTTTTATGTATAGTTACAAATTTTTAAACAAATCTGAGAAAAAAATTTCAACATTTTTTTTAGTAAACTTAGATTTACCCTTGGTGGTGAGGACAAAGTTTTGTGAGATTTCACTTCAGAGCTCATGACGGTCAACGTGTTTGAAGGAGTAGAAGTCCGTCAATTGAAAGATGATGTAATAAATTAAAATATTAACAACAATTTGAAATATTATATAGTTTATATTGCAAAAATAAATCATAGAATTGCAAACAATATTATTACAGTTTTTAAGTTAAAAACCCTTTTATTTTATTAGAATTTTAGGTTCATTTTGCACGCGTGTTACGAAATCGTCGACGAAATTTTGTATTTTTGTTTTAACTTCAGTTTCAACTATTTCTTCACCTCCACAAAAAGGAAGTACGTAATCTGTTGTTGCTTTTAACAGATACTGGTATCCTTTATCAACAGATTCGTTTTGTATTGTTTGTATTGCATTCAAAGCCATTTGCATATTATTTGCTTGTATTTTTAATGTGGTACCTGTACACAAATAACATTTTAAGTTCGGTTTCGTAAGTTTATTAAACTTTAGGTGAAAATCCCCGCTTTTTTTTGATGGAAAAATATTTTAAATACAATAATTTCAAGCTAGCTCAAAAAATGTCAACAAAGTCATTTAGACATTTAGAAGTTTGGATTTTAGAAATTAGCAAATCTGCAGTTATTGATAAAATTAACAAAAGTTTCAATACAATATATCTTTTAATACATTATTCTAAATTTAAATTTCCATGCAGACATGCTCTCTCGGCTTGAGTTTTATTTAGTACAACTGAGATTTAAATAAATATAAGTATTAACAGCCCAATAAAAAAGCCGTGTTTTCTACAGTATTGTACTCTTATTTATGCTTTGCTTATTAAAAAATCAAATAAAATTTAACACTCACTTTCATCCTCCGCTTTCATTAAATTAAATATTAAATCATTAATATTGTTTTGAAAGATAAAAATAGATTGGGGGTAATTATTTAAGCCATTAATGCAAGATACTGATTTCTTTAATGAAGAACCGGATGGTTTTTTCCCCACTGTATTTTCTCTATTGTCTGTTGTCATGGGCGTAGCATTCTGAAAGACGAACAAAACATTAATCATATAAGTGGTATCATGGAATCTTGTCGACTATCGTCAAATACCAGCTATATTAAAGGACTACAATTTTGTAGCTTCAAAGACAATTTGTTAATTATAAGGTTTGGTAAAAATTTTAACTAACGCGAAATGGTTTTTTTAGCGGTCTATTGTCTTCATCATCCTCCATGGGCGTAGCATTCAATAGAATCTGAAAAACGCACATAATATTAGTAATACTAGTAGATCTTAGAACCAAGGGCGTCCTCAGGTGATAATTCAGAAGGGGGCCGCCTATGATTTTGTAATAGATTTTACAAATTTGGGATATTGGATATACATTTTTTTAACTTACAGAGAAGCTAGAGGAGGAGAGGTTGTTGTCCCCTCCCCCTGCCCTTCCCTGTGGACACCCTCGCTTAGAACTCTTATCGACGCGGTCGTCAAATACCACCTGTATTAAAGGACTACAGTTTTGTAGCTTCAAAAAAGATTGGTACAAGACAATATTTTGTTATATTTGTTTAAACCTCAATGATAGACGTCTTTAAGGGGGTATAATATATATTTTTAATTTAGTAAAATGTTTAGTCCAAACCAATTTCAACTTACAATGACGCCAAAAAAGTACACTGCGAATAACATACGATTCATGTTTGATTTTTTTGTAAATACCTAAAACAATAAAATACCCATAATATTATAAATCCAGCGACACTGTATAGGCGCGGAGCTAAGTAAAAAAAAATAGCGTAGTGTCCACCGTCGTGTATACTATACACGAATCATTGCAATCTCATTAAACGCGTACAAGTTTTACCATAAAGGTTGTCACCTTTTGTGATAGTGTACGGCTAAACAGAATTGATCATATCGATACCTTGAAGCACACAAGTGCTATGTCCACTTTATATAATTTTTGAGGTATAGAGTTTAACTCTTGAAAAAAACTCTTCAAAAAAAAAATCCACAAAGGATATAGAATTTTACTGTTATTTTTAGTTTTTTATCACGAATTCAGGGATAATCAAAATCACGATTTTGAAAAAAATGAACTTAGCACTTGTGTGCTTCAAGTTATCGATATGAGATATCAGTAAATTGGAAAAGTTGTATAGAAGGGGAGCGGGCAAATAGTTGAATATTTTCTTAATTACCTTGAGGTACTAGGATACTTATTTTATCAAATATTATATATGTATAAGTATTATAACATATATAATAAAATGTTTAAATATTAGCGCGGTACACTATATTTGACCTTGGAAAAGAAAATATAATACACTGTATGCTATCTCGTTCGTGAAAAAGAATCTAAGGCGGCTTAGGCGGCGCATAGCGTTGGCGCGCGTTTTTATCATGCCAGAACGTTATTGTATCAAATAATAACGGTGACGGCGTGTGTTGTTTTTTTGGCAAGCTTGTACTTTACTTAAATTAAATTAAACGTATAATTATTATTATTAATTACGTATCTGTTGTTCATTGTCATAAGTGGTTTACATTCAATAGTGTTTCCGGTGTGTCAAACTTTACCTATGCGTCGTTGGATTGTTGTTTGATTTGTTAATAAATGATAAATAAATAAATAATTTTGGTACGTTTCTTAAAATATATATATATATTATATATATAGTACAATTCATTTTAATTCATTATTTTTGTTTGCTTAAACCAAAATATCCAATTAATTATATATGCAAAATTCTTATATTTTTCACACCGCTGTGTGTAAAATAAATAACTTACTAACTTATTTTGTATACATGTAAATTATTTGTTTTAGGCTAAACTACTATAATGAAATCATAACCGATGCGTGTCCGTTTGGAAATGAACGGTTAGTAGAATGGTTTACGTTTCTATCTACTCTGTATTTAATTAATACAATAAGTAATTATTATTGTTACCATCGGTTACAAACTCTGTTAATAGTATTTTACTTAAAAGTCTATTATCTTTGGTTTTTATAAAAGAAAATTATGCTACCTACAATTAAATTAATTATTATGTCTATACAAAAATGCATATCCATAACAGTTACCTGAACACCTTTGTTTATTTTTTGTCTTCATAGCTATTGATATATTTCTCAGTGTAATTGACGTATTAATAATTTCTACGGTGAACATTTATTAAACGAATCCACTATAATGGTAAGTTACAAGTATACTACATTATATAAGTATTGAAATTGTTATTCAAATGTTCTTTTTGGCCGCTAGGTATCTTTTAAGTAGGTATATATTATTGCAATTACAATAGGTTACAACGATGTTATTACTACATTCAATCATTAATAATAATCTATACAAAATCACTAAGTAAAAGTAGTCCAAAACTTAGCGGTTTTCCATCTCTATTATCCTCATATCATTTTACGACGAAGGACGTAGAAATTATTTATTTTAAGTCTCGCTTCCTCAAAAAAAGTCTTGTTTTAAAACGCAGGCGTCGAAAAAAATCATTCCGCTCTTCAACAACGTGTTGGTGAAAAAATTCTTTCAGTCCCAACAGACAAAAAGCGGTTTATTTTGTGGTAGTAAGACCTCAAAACCAACTTATGTCGGTGTAGTGCTCGCCATCGGCAAAAAATGCAAACAGGTAATATCATCATATGTCCTTAATTAGTTAAGGTTATTATTTTACGGTAATAACTATATACAGAGGAGGAGTGGCCGAGTGGGTAAGGCGGCAGTGTGTTAGCGCTCACTGTCGCCGGTTCGACACTCGGTCACAGGCGCTCCGTTTGCTGGGCGAGCAATCGTCCGGTAAAAAGGAACCGCCATCCCCCTCTCCGGCGACGGATTGACGACCCGTCCCGGAAGCGAATTCGTCAAGAAACCATCTCATGATGGCAAGCGTTGGGCCTTCATGGCCCGTTAAGCTACATGATGATGATGATGATGATGATGAATAACTATATAAACGTTAAGAATAATCATATGATTTTCATTTGAATATAGTTATTTTTAGAACTTTTTATCTCTTTAAACATTTGAAAATGATTTCATTATTCAAAACGTACCTTTCGATATTTATTTAGGTACAACATTTTTGTTATTTAAATGATATCTGCAAAGAATTGTTCATTTTTTTTCATGTTGATGGAAATATATATTTTTTTTAATTTTTATTAAAAAAATTTAAGTATTAGCTTGTTTTAGGAGTCAGGAAATCATTTCAAGGTCGGTGACAAGGTATACTTGACAGACCTCTACAACGGGAAAAAAGTAAACGTTGAAGATGTGGAAGATGCACTCTTTATGTACAAGGACTTCGATCTTCTTGGTGTGATTGAAAACGATGTAAGCAATAAAGAACCGCCAGCAAACAGTCAAGGTCTTACTGAAGAAGACTATGATAATGTTGAAGGAATTGAAGCGTTAAGAGCTGTGAACTAGAACTGTTATTTCTAAACTAATTCTGTTTAAAAAACAAAAAAATATTGAACTTAATAAAATAAAATGTACACAAAGATTTAAAAATAATATTCGTATTGTTACACAATCCTAAGCGGTCTGTTAAGTATACCCTCAGGAACACCGAAACAACGGTGACAGTAGGGGAAATAAATCCAAGGGAATAATTTCGTAAGGCCTATGTCCCCACGGTTCCACAGTGAACAAAAGTGTATGGGCTTATAATTAAAAAATCATTCAGATTTAAAACAAATAATCAGTGGGTTTAAAATGTTTTCAACTTTAATATATTTTTTTTTTTTATAATATACTATTTAGTATTTCATTATCTATAATTCCACCACTACTCTAAATTTATTCGGTACTTCAACGAGACATGAAAATGCTCTTTCGTGGTTGCTGACTCGGCTGAAAATGGGTTTTTTATTTTTGATAATGTTTGACAGTTTCATACTACTACTCGACAAAAAAATAAATGCTAGGTTTGAATATTTGTTTTCAACTTTACAACGCAGTTTATCAACATTTGTACAAAATCATGTCTCGGGTAGTACACGTTTAACTGAGCAGTTTTATCAAAAAATTACTAATAAATTATCGATAAAATAATATCTTTCTGATAAGTACAAAAAAACAATATATATTTACAATACAAAATAACAATAAAAAAACATACCATTATCTTGAGAAGAATAATTTTAAATATCACTAAATTTTTTTAATTTGATAGACTTGATAAAGAAAAACTAAAAAGAAAAAATGATTAATACAGTTAATTCTCAGGTTGCCTTTTTGCGGTTAGATTTTCGTCATTCCACACGTTGAAGAATATTTTTGTGAATACTGTGTTAACAAAAGTAAATCGTAAAGTCACTAATACCTACTTTATATTATACTTGTGTTTTGTGCTTTTATTTACTCTACTATACTTAAACCAACACAGGCAAAATATTATAATGCCATTGCGCAAAATTGTAATCTTTTTTTTAAAGACAAAGTAATAACAACTCCTTTTGTGTACTCATAGCTGTGTTAAACGTATGTAACTTGTTATTTCAAAGGTTAAAACTGGTCGTTGTTTGAAAATATTCTCGAAACATTTGTTAGTTTTGTGCACACAGATGTTTTAATGATATTTTGTTCAACTTTTAATGTTTTTCTTATATTTTTCGATAAATATTATTTTGACACCATATTTAATATTTATTTTGACTGACAATATTCTTTATCATCAACACGATGACTATGATTGGACTCCTCTTACTTAAGATGGATAAGTGGTTTAATAAAATATATAACCAAAATTTGTATCATTCGTTGTCCTACTTTGATCTACAAAAAAAAAAAACTTTAAATTTAATTACAGAATTAAAATGTCAAAATTCCGGTTTTTCCATGTGCGATTTTTTTGATAACACATTTTATACTGAAAATGCTAAGGTTATAATAAATCGAAAATATTTTCAAAAAAACATAAAATTTCGGCACTTGTGCATACATGAGAATGTCTGAGTACATTTTTTTTTCCATCGATAAATATTCATACATTTTAGGCAGAAAAAAACGTCGATCTAACGACAAAAACAATGTATAAAATTGTCAATGTTTGAATTCCCAACTTTTTTTTTTCTTTTGCACATCTTAGTGTTACTTTTTACACAATGAAAATCCGAAGGTCATAGCAAATCATCGAAACTTGAAAATGTTCGATGTATACACTATTGCCATTTGCGCACATAGATATTGTATTATTGTACGACTACTGCCTGTAATAGTCCGTAAAACAAATAGTAACCTTACCTTATGTATGGCTATTGACGGATATTCACAAGGGAAAAAGCCATTAAAATTGGAGTCGGGACTTAAGTTGAACCGAACTGACTGAATGTGATAAAATCACTTTTAAAAAATGTCATTAAAACCTAAAACTTATGCTTGGGCACTCAAAACTTACCGGGACCGCTCTAAATAGTATCCGTTAAAATATTGGCATGATTTGATTTTTTTTTTTTAAATATTTAACATCTGCCAAAAACCGTTTTCCGACAATTAAAAAAAGAAATTTACTCCCGAATTTTTTTATTCGTTTAATATGTTATGGATACATGACACTATGAGTCCTGACTTCTGAAAAATGTTTTCAACTAATAGGTCTTATAATTACGGCTAAAAACACAAAAAACTTTGCATTCCTAAAAGGTAGCAGTCTATACAGACAAAAAAAAACCTACACCATAATGCAAATATATTTTAGATACCAGCTGTTGGCTATTGATTCACCCTTATTCATTGCAACCTACAAACCTACTACAGTAACATCGTAATTCGCCCCTTTAATTTGGTTCTAATAAAACAAAGCTTCATTACAGATTTTTAAGTAAATTTTATGTGCCCCATTCTAGAAAAAACTTATGATATACTAAGTAAACACAACTTTTTTTTTTAGTAAGTAAAAACTTTACTATAGCTATAATCAATCTTGAAAGTCTTTTCATATTCTTCTAAACGCCAGTAGTTAGAACCACGTGTGTTAAAAATGTACTGAGTTATACTAATTAAAAAAAAACAGTACATATTGGAAAAACAATTTATGAAAACTATCACCGTGTCTTGAATCAGGATGTGTGATGAAGTTTTTTGCGGTTTGACAATCAAACGAAGCAAATACTGTTAATTTTAAAATGTCGATAGTGTTTAAAAAAAGTATTTAAACAGCGAAAATTGTAATAAAAATAATTATGATTAAAGGAAAAATATACGGAAGAAGTTAAGACGAAAACAATCGCTGGTCGATAAAATAATTTTCCTAAAAAGGCATAAAATTGTTAATGTGACATTGCCGCCGACAGTATATTTTAATTTAGTAGAAATATGAAATAGGCATTGATAAAAGCACTGTGAAGGCAATAATGTACTTAAAATTAGCCTATAATTATTGCCTACAATTAGTACGAATTATGTTTTTGAGAAAATTAAATTTACAGATTAAACCTGCTCCCAAATGATTAATTTTAATACTTTGCAATTCATTTTGCTACCAGGTGCTTGTTGTTTTAATTTTAAGCTACTTAGTTAAATATCAGCCAGACACCAGAATTTTAGGTGATAGCTATTTATGCCCACTCCACCTTTACCGAAATGACGGTACTAGCTATCATAAAATTTAAATTATAACTTAATATTATATTAATGTAGCGAGTGAGGATGTTATAGAAAATTGACAAATCAAATTCAAATTTGGATAGTTTAATCTCTAAGAGTTTTTCAGAAACTATTATTCGAAGTCCATAGGTATCCATACTAGATATACTTAATTATTGTTAAAGCGACACAACAATGTTCTGCGTTTATATCGTTATACAATCAGTTGATAAAAAATATTTTCTGAAGATGATCAAATTATATTTAAAAAATTTAATAAATTGTAACCGCTAATGACAATTTTAAATTTTTTTGCATATTCCCATAATTTTGCATTTTTTTACTCATTTCCTTTACTATTTTTTATGTGTTAAATTACAATAAAGAGAGCTTTTTAATGATTTACTGTTACAGCTTTTAGTAAGTTACATAAAAAAAATGTAGGTACTACATTTTACAATTTGCCTATAATATATATTTTGTCCCAAGATGTATAAATTTGTTTTTGTGTATCGTCAGCCGAAGCAGCTGAATCGCAAAAAAAAAATGAAGACTTACGTCATAAGTATACTTTAACAACTGTTTACCAAGGCCACCGTTTGTTCGACTGTTTATGACAAATTTCAATATTTTACATAATTATCGTTACTTTTAGTAGTTAGCATAAAAAAATAATCAAAATATCAATTGCTAAAGATTGCTCTGTATTTTCGACAAAATATTCTTTATTTAAAAAGAAAATCAAGCGTATAAGTTTGCATTTAAGTTTAAAAAGTCCACCTTTTTTAGACCCCCAGAAAAAGTACTAAACGTTTTCAGCCGTTATTTGGCTATATTCGTTTACTTTGACTACTTTTTGCTCACCGATAATGAAAACAAAAAAATATATCATTGCAAAACATACACCTTACAATAATATACAAGTACCTTCAAATTTGCTACTAAAACCTGTAATTATTGTAGTTTTGGTAATTGGAAACATTTTAGTTTGTGTAAAAAAATGTTTTCAAAAAAAAAAATAAGCGTATTATCATTAATGAATCACCCTGTATGTACATAAAATAATCGGTAGCCTTTTGAAATATTTTTTAAAAAATGAGATTTCTACAATAACCGTAAGTATTTGAAAGACTTTAAATCAATTAGATAGATAAATTGGGTTATTATAATTTTTCTATAAAATATCCACTGTTGAATTAATAGGTTTTGGTTGAACGTCGGTTTGTCGTTAGCTTCGTTTTTAATAATTGTTTAAAACTAATTTTTTTTCTCGTTTAAATTTACTAAAATATAAAAAAAAAGATGTACATCGTATATTATATATTTTTTAATTCCATCAAAATCTTAAAACTCTACAACCACTGAACGAAAAAAATAGGACAGTTGTTTAGTTATAGTTTTATTTATTCCGTCCAACGGCAGTGTCTAATGAAGCCATATAATAATTATTATATTGTTTTTCATTATTATGACGACTAAATAATTTATGTTATTTTTTTAATATAAGTTGACAACTTTGGCAATGATTTCTTCATGACCTTTTCAACACAACCGCGGTTCTAAAAGATCCTAAAAGAAAGCTTATGGGTTTTTCAGAAACGTTTGAAATATATTCGGTAATACGAGAAAAATCAACAACATAAAAAAAATATACATAAATTTCTAAAAACATGACCCATATAGGTGAAACAGCGCAGAATAAATGTTTCGGGTGTACCTACCTTGAAATATTGGTACAACAGTTTTAAACATTTACTTTTATTATTGAAATAGTTTTTTTCCCATACTTGTAGGTACATATTTTTCGACATTTTTCAATATTTAGTGTTACGTATCAGCAGTTTATATATATGGTGGGGATGTCCACCATACACGAGTGCTACACCGGCACAACTCGTCATTCGTGTAATTTGGGTTTCATAATAAACATCAGCGAATATTATTATTTATATTAATCTAATTGTGTTTTACTTCCATACTAAGGTATAACAATTACGAATTTAATATCAGTTCTCAATTATAATCAGTCAGAAAAAATTTAAGTAAAAAAAAAAAAAATTGAATTTGTTCACACTAAAAGTCAAAAGTGGTACTTGAGCACAAAACTTAATAGTATCATTCTGCATAGGTTTACATAAAATTGTTTTAATGATTTGATAAATTTTTTTTAAGATTTTAGGTGTTTTTGTTAAAATATACGCAATCTGCGAAGACACAGTTTTCCGGCAATTAAAATAAAACTGTAGTGCCGAATTTGTTTTCCGTTTAATATGTAATGAATACATACGAGTTCTACTTACTAATACATTTTTAACTTAAAGGGCCTAAAAAACTAAAAAAACTTGAACCCCCTCTAGGGGGGTGGGAAATGGATTTAATTAAAATTTGATACAACTGACGTGTTTTTTCCTCGAAATTATAGCCAGTAAAGTTCTATCTTTAAAATTCGTGCGGTTTTTTTTTGTTTTTTCAAATTTGACTGTGAAGAAGTAAACTTTTTCAACTTCCCCCCCCCCCAATGTACCAACTAGATGTAACTTGTGATTTATAGAGTTGCTACTCGAAGGAATTAGTTCAATATTAAAAAAGTTACAGTGTATACAGATAAAAAAAAACACATCAGAGTAAAACCTTCGCCGCTCTGCATCGAAGCTAAAAATAAATTGTCGAAATCGGTTCGGTAGACACTTCAGAAAGTGACTTCAAATTTTAGTCTTTATTTGTAAAAAATGTACGCTCTCCGTTCCCCTTAAGTCAAAATATGGCCTTATATAACTAATACAATAGGTAACTTGTATAACTTATACAACTAATTTGGAATTTATCTAAACTTTAAAACCAGATCAAATCACAGGCTGCCGATTTTCTTGCTATTTTAGGGTCCATGTACACACATGTTTGATTACATTTTTTTCGTCTGTTATCTTTGAATATTCATAAGATAATTAATATTACATTTGGAGTGAAATAATTACAGATATGTGGCCCTATTATAATATATTTAAACATTTTATCAAATAAATTATGTTTAAAAATCGGTAGATCTTAATGACCTCCCCCTATCTCTAAAATAAACACCAATAAATACAATAAAAGCTTAGACTGCCTTTGTATAATTTTAATTTTGTTGTTTGTTACAATATTTTTATACACAAATTACATTTTCTACTCAGTTTTGTTATTTTACTGAGTTAACATAGAATAGTTTTACTTTATTCAAGATAAGTAGGAGCATCTAAACTAATTGCGAATTCTAGTTGTTGACGGAGTGACGAAACATGAACAAACATTACTGAATAACTCCAGTAAGTAATCAATGTTTATTTTGGTCAAACAATAATAACTTCAAAATAATATAATCTTGGTATTAAGTGCCATTATTTTTTGTTTTAACAAAAATAAATTAATATTATTTTATAGTTATCACTTATCAATTGTTTCCATGTGAACAAAATAATATATTCATAATAGTTGCAAGTACTGTGACGCATATTTCAATGTGTTAGTTGTAAATGGCAGCACAAAATGGTCAACTTTGCGTTGTACCTATTTAACTACACAACCCTTATGATGTTATGATGACTGTCGAGTAATATTATAATTGAAATTTGAATTAAGGATAATACAAAAATATATTGTACATCTTATAGTATCATTTTCATAAGCTTATGAATTCGGACATAAAACGCTCGATGGTATGTTTTTTATTGTACGTATATAAACATTAAACACTGAAAATCAACCAAAAAAAGGTGTACAATTTCGAGTGGAATATAATTCATTGAATAACATTATAACGATTTTAAATGTATTGTTTATTATGTAAAATATATAATTGAATTGCAAACAAATGAATCGTATATTATAACTTATAAATAAACCATAATTTATTTTATTTAAAAATAAATTTTGAATTTAAGATTCGTTTTTTGTCACGTCTTCTTCGAATTTCACAGCGACTCTTTCTATAGCATTCAAAATACAGTTTCGATCATTATCAAAATGGCTTTCTACTAACGTATCAGGGTAATCAGTCGTATTGTCGTAAGTTCTAATTTTTGTTGCCTGAATGAAAGCTTCACGTCCAACTTTGAGGTCACCATTTTTCATAAGTCTTCTTGCTTCAAGGACTTCTTCTTTATATTTCGGTTCTAAGTGTTCTCTGGTCAAACCTTTATAGTGTACACATATCAAATTTTAAAATGTTTTCTAATAATGTATATTTCATTAAAAATTATGTATTAAGAACGGAACCGTATTTAAGATTTCAAGATACCGTTTTTTAGTGTCGATCAATAAACAAAATGATGTGTTCCATAAAATAATATGTTTGATTTACTCATTTCAGTAAGATCTGACTAGTATTAAGAAATTTTTATTTAACTCAAAGAAATCAGGATAATAATAGATATTTTTTATAGGAATTTCAACTAAGTAACAGATATTTGCAAGTTAAGAGTTTTGGAAATTTAGTGTATCTGAAATCGACAAAATCACCGTTTTCTGTAGAGAATAGAATATATAATATATAAAACAAAAATTATGTAAGAATACAATTTTTTTTATTGGAGAATGCTTTTGAATATATTACACTCAACGTAAAATAACAATCTATTTTAATAAACAATATGTATTAACCCTCAATAAAACTACTTTAATCCTATGAAACAAATAATGCCAATACGGTAAAATAAATTATTACTTTGATTTACATTTTAATTAATTGATAAACAAATTTTTGATAAACGTATGATTGATACAATGTTACACTGATTGCCACGATAAAATCTTTGTATAACAACAATGCATTTTTATAATAATAAAACATTTATGGGGTCAATAGCAATACAGTATATATCAAATTTAATTATCTATCTATCTACATTTTTATTGAATATCACGTTATTTTTCGATAAGTGCATTTAAAATTGTAATATCTAGTTATAAGGAATGTACTCAAAATTGACTAATTACTATCTGACATACTTTCAGACTTTGAATTTCTATGTATATACTCTAAAAATCAACTTTCTGTAATAATTTCAGAATATAATTTCTACAACTATTCCAAAACGTACATTTTTTGAATAATCGAATGGAAACTAATAACTTCAGTGATGTATACTCACTTAGTTAGGTTTTTCCAAATATTAAACAAACGTAAGTTTATCTTATAAAGTATAAACCCAATAAAGAAGCATTATATTTAAAAAAAAATCAGGTAATTTTAAGTTCCCTTATCTTCCCTAAACTTATTTAATAAATATATAATAAAATACCGTTTTTGATACTCACTGTTCATATAAGTATCTAACAATAAAGGCTTTATTAAATCTTCTCGATAAAGGTTATTTGGTAGATTAATTATTGAAAGCAGATCTTGTTTTTTGACTTTGCTCGAAGAGCCCAACTCAGATGTTGAACCACTCAAAGAAAAGGTCTTCAATGAAATATGAAAAACGCATATAATATTATTAATATTAGTAATATCATTGAGTTATTGTTGACTGTCATAAAATACCAGTTATATATAAATTATTTATGTACAGTATTGTAGTCCCAGTGAACATGAAATAAAATTCAAAGAAAATTTGTTATGAACATATAGAGGCTCTGGCAATAACTAGGTATATACTTATTATCCTATATATTATATAAATCTCAAATAGATCGTATGTATTTACTTTTTTTAAAGAGTCTGATAGAGATCTGGTAAAGGATTTTCGCTTGGTATCTGGTGTTTTTTCATCTGATGAATTGCTATTGCCTTGTCTATCACCTTGTGGCACGGACGAAGCATTCAATAAAATCTGAAAGACGAATATTATGTAATTAAAATTAGTAGTATCCTAGAATTGTTGTCGACTGTTGTCAAACACCAATTGTATTAAAGAATAACCGTTTTCAAAATCAATTTTCACGGCAGTTATTTTCAGTAATATAATATCCTAGACAAAAAGTGAAATATTAATTTTCTTAGAACATTGTGAAATTTGTACATGGACCAAAACCAAATAAAATAAAATAAGTACAAGTAGTTTTATACATTTGAACAATTTTCAAGAATTAAATTAAATATTTTTATCCTATATGGAATGTGAGAGGTAATTTATAGGATAAATTATTGAGATTATTACTGAATACATCATAACTACTATAAATATATAATCATAATTTCTTGCTTGCTAACATGTATGGTAACTCAATTTCTTGTAGTAGATACAAAAATGTTGAATGAGAGTATCAAATTTAATTTTTTTCTTGAAATAATTTACTTACTGTGAGGCCGAAGAAACACACTGCAAATAACAAAATATTTGTGTTTGATTTCATCGTAAATTCCTAAAACAATAAAATCATAATAATATAATATATGAATAGTTATTTTATCGACCGACATAGTGGCAAAGTCTAAAGGGAAAATTCGGTCTTGCGAAGAATAATTTGAAATGTTACTTACTTTTTTGACGTTCGTTATACTAAATGAATAGAAATTAAAAAAAAACACTGATACAGTTCATGCTTAGGGTACCTTTTTATAGTCAGTTTTGTGACAAACGTTGTTTTTCCCCACGTCGAATTTTCTGATGTCGTGTACCAATAACATTTTTGTTTACATAGTACAGTTTGAATTCTTTAGATGTTTAGGAACTTCTAGACCAATCGGACCAATTGTTGACGGTACGACCCCCCTATATTTTATTTCAGTCTGGTTAATCAAATAAGATTCTCGCACGAACGTCACACACTTGAATTTTTATACTTTAATCGCGCCAGTCGAGATGCGAGCCGCCTAGTGCAAATATTGTTCACTTTGAATGGATTATAGCCTATAGTTGAAAAGAAATATATTTTATATTATATATATTCTAATTTCTGCAGTGCACATAAAAAATATTTTCCTATAATTAATATTATATATGTAAAATTCTGTATAGTTGTACATTATGTAATTGGTCTTAATGAATATTATTTATTTTAAATTCGCTGTAATTTAAAAATAATTCGCCTATTCAATAGAATCTATTGAATAAAAGCTTGTTTTTAAAACATTTTTAATAGGTAGAACATGTAAAACAAAGTCACCGATGTATGTTTAAAAAAATTATTATTTTAGAATCAGTAAAGTAGACATATATATATATATATATATTTTTTTTTGTATACTGGTGCCTACCTATAAAACAAACATTAAATTTTAATAAAATTCGAACGCGAACGATTGCAGCATAATATACCATATATTATATTTTAAATTATTATAAAAACTTAAATTGAAATAACAATATTTAAAATTTATCGTTTTTACAGATATTGTCAAAATGAGGATTTCTAATTGTTATCGTCCCTTAACGAATACAATATACAATCAACTATATATTATATTTAATATACAGCTCAGATTGAAGGACGTGGTCATCACTTGCGATGAGAGTTTGATTCGGCATATCGATGAAATATGATAATGTGACCAAGATGCTCAGTGCTCTATCGTTATCTACTGATATGAACTACAACACTAATGTTCTTCCCCAAGCGCTAGGTAGCGCAGCTCGGAAATACGAGCACTACTCTTAGTTCTTTTGGGATACCCTTTGTAGATAATAAGATGTAAAAATATTAGCCGTTTTTGCACATCTAAATAACTTGCTTAAATAAAAAAACATTTTTCGATTTAGGATTTTATCATTAACATATGTTCTATATAATAAATAAAATATACTTATTAACACCAAAGAACAACAAATCTTACAGTAAACACACAGATTACCATTTTAAATTTAAGTTTTGTGATTTGTTTAATTTTCATAAATTACGTTTTTTACTAAATTTTTTTTTTGTTATTTTATTTCGTTTCAAAAAAAAATTGTACTTTAAAGAAGATAGGAAGGAGCATCTAGACTAATAATCTATTTGGTTTATTGAAGGCGAGATAATATTTAAAATTGGTCTTAAATCTTCAATAGATAATAAAATATATTTATTTTGGCAAAAAAAAGTAGCTACAATTAGATTTGAATATGTCATGTATATTGTTTAACTATACCCGACAAATTAAAATATAAACAACAATTTTTAATTAATAATATAATTAATTAAAATGATAGATCTTCAAAAGAATAAAACAAATATTACAATTTCAAGTCAACTGTACTTTTGTTTTATTAAACAATACATTTTGAATTATTAAATTAATTTTCCTGCATTCACATCTTTTACGAATTTATTGATGACCTCGTTTATTGCGATTTTTCTTTATTCGACAAGCACTTTAAATACAACATTTTAAATCGGGCTTGACAGCTTTTTGTTGAAATTTCAACAAACTAGGGGAAATTATAAGTTTGAATTTGGAAATTATTATATCTGAAATTGATAAAATTGACAGAAAGGGCGGAATATTCCACAAAATCTGAAAGTAGAAAACTATCTTACGAAGAATAATTTGAACTGTTACTTAGTACTTACTTTTTAGACGTTTTTCAAACTAAACGAATAGAAATTAATAAATCACTAAAATGGTGAATGCACATTTTGCCTTTTTAAAGTCAGTTTTGCGACCTCCCCACTAATCTTTTTCTACAAAAAATAGGTCCTTAATATATTATTCTTTTTTTGATTTATTGTTTTACCGAGTGTAGTTTTAATTTATTTAAGACGTGTAGAAACCTCTAGACCAATCGAATTTCATCGTTGGTGGTGCGACCAGTATTTAAAATCTTCCATTTTATCTGGTTAGTCTTATGCGGTTCTACGACGAACACGACACACCTAAAGTTCTATACAGTATACTCATATTGCTTCTTTCGAACTGCCTAGTGAAAATGTCAAATTTCAAAGGTTCACTGTCCACACTGTTAGCATTGAAGCTTATATCACTTTCAGTTATAATAACCAATGTAGACCACCTCTGATATCCGCGTTTTTATTTTGCTACGTTGGGTGGACATAAATTTGGCTTAAAAACACAAAACAACGTCCACACCCTTCTGGGGGATGGTAAATAGATATAATTTAAATTTAAGGCTTTTGGCATATAAGAGCATACTAAATAAATATCTCTTGATAATTTTAACTAGATCCAACCATTTTTCTTGAAATTATAGCTGGTCAAAGTTAAAAACTAAAAATATATATAATTTGCTTTGTTTTCCTCGATTTTAAGGGTAAAGGAGTAATCTTTTTCAACTTCTCATCCCATTCCTCCCTTAAAGTACCGACTAAATAAAACGTGTGATCTTTAGAGACGCTACTCCAAGAAATTGATCCAGCGGTTCAAAAGTTACCGTGCGTACAGACACAAGAAAACAAGCTCAAGTCATTGTAAAACCCATGGCCTCTCAGTTGTGCATCAAAGCTAGAAAAACAACGGTCATAACTTAAATTCATTTTTTTTTTTATTCGCAGCTTTATTCCGTATTGCTGATACGAGTCTTAAAACTTGATGGTTTAACTAAAAAATAGAAAACCTGAACATATACATATAGACAACAGTGCGCTTGTTTTGCGAATAATCCAAATATGATACTATATCGTACGTTGACAATGTTCTCGAAGCCGGCATATTCATTTGGGATTTGTGCACATAAATGGTTTAACACATTTTGTTTTTTCAAACTGCTATCGGCGAATACTCACAAAACAAATATTAAATTTTAATAAAACAACATGTACGAATTACAGACTTTGACTACGATTATTGTTAAAAGTATTCAGACGCGCTCATTTTTTATAAGCCGAGAAAAAAAACTGAATTTAATTGTTATACTACTTACAATACATTTTCGAAAACTATCATTTAAAAACACTGTTTTGAAATTAATTTTTTTCTCTAATTAAAACAACATTAATGTATTAAACCGATAAATCTAAATTCAACAAAGTTGAAACTTAACCTAACGAAGCAGTAGTCTGTACAAAATTAAAATTGGACAAACTAGCATTTTTTGGTTTTGTTTTATGATCCTAAAACTTTGTGAAAATGTCTTTTTCAATGTTAACAAGTAGTAACAAATAACTGTTGGAATTACTACTAACTATTAATATCATAAAAAGTCATAGTTTACGTGGGGGGAAATGTGTATAGTTTTACACTAAATTATATATGATTAAAGTTTATACGCAGACAACACAGTATAATTAATCTACATATTATTATATTACTAAATGCTGTTTGTGTAGTGTAAGTAGTTTAAGAAAACCTTATACACATATTTTAATGGTCTTGGCTTTAATGTCTATTGTTATTTTTACATTATCATTTCTAGCACTGTACTAAGTACTCGTAGATGTTAAGATATTTGCTGATGTTAAGCAGGATTGTCTTTACAATGTCGGGTGTTTTTATTTTGTTTAGCTTTGCACTGGATCCACCATATCTCATAAAGCACTTAACCGATTTCTTTATATAGCCGGTCTATAAATCAGAAGTCGTACGTTGAAGATACTTTATTGGGCCGAAAAAAAGTTCACCCTTCCCCTTTAAAATAAAACACCCACAATATCTACATATTTTTTTAAGATCTGAAAATTAGACTAATGTTACATTTAGAGTGGCGCTATAACATATACAATTTTCTCAAAAATATGTTGTCAAACTATTTTGTTGATTAGGGAATGCCGAAAAATAAGAAAAACAACACTTTGACCGTTGTACATTTCTAGGTTATAAAGTATAATACAGTTCATGTGAATGAATGAAACAGTCAATAGGTATCAGCTGGAAAACTTTATTATATTGTTGCTCACAATAAACTGGTTACAGCAGTAACAAAATATTAGAACATACCGGCGATCAACCCTTATCCCAACCACCCAATTCCAAAATTTTATGAATATTTATTATTTTTACTAATAACAGATTAGCATTGGAACGTTTACATGCTAGTGATTATACATTCTTAGTTCAATAATATTATATATCCCAAACAAAAATATTAATATTAATATTCTTAAAACATTGTGAAATCATAATATGTGGAGTAATAAAAATAAAACAGTTTTATACATTTAAACAATGCTTAAAAAATTAATATTTGGTTTATTTTATATGTGTTTGTTATTTTATATGTTTTGTGGTGGATAATAAAATATTTATTGAATGGATCACATTTAACTTTTACTGTGAATTAGTTGAAATTGAGCCAGAAATTTATATATACTTACAAAAAGGCCGAAGATATACACAGAAATTAACACAAGACTCGTGTTTGATTTCATCGTAAATAAGTACCTAAAACAATAAAATTCCCCATAACAATAATTACAAATATTTTTGTCATCGGCAGACATATAACTATTAGTATAATATAATAAAATATAAAAGTGTTAAAGGTAATAAACAATTTTTGCGGAATTCTAAGCTATAAACAAATCTAATACAATTTTAAAAATCATAAATATGAAAAATCATTCTAATGGCACATCATTTTGTGCATTTAACGTGGAAACCTATTAAGACAAATTTTCTTTTTCTTTGATACTGTCAAATGTACGAGTCGACTCGCACCATGTTATTGTCGAACCTTCCATTATTAA